TTGATGAGAGAATATATTTGTCCTCTGTCTAAGGAGAAATTTTAATATTTGCATTTTTATTATACAAAAAAGAAAAATACAAAGAAAGAACTAATAAATATCCGGATACTTTTAGAGCTAATTGTTCATTGTGAAAAATAGAAGTTTAGATGAAAGAATTTAAATAGTAATTAAACAAGACTATTGACAGGTATACTACGAGAACAGCATATCTCAATTTCCTTCCATTTCATGTACTTGTAAAAAGATTACTTTTTTTTTTATTATTCTCGTTCACATAAAACATTTAGAATTACGATTACGGTTTCTTTTGTTCTTTCACATTTATGGAAACTTATAACTGTCATACATTAGCTTGTCATAATATTATATTTTGTATTATATGATTCGAGGTATAGTTAATGAAATGCATAGAAATTCTAATGTTATTGCTAAAAAATATATCTTCATATATATGAAAATAAAACAAAAGTGCCAACATTTAATATTGTTCTCTTTTCCTATTCTCAATGATAACGGGAAGAAAAAAAAAACATTTCCGCAGTCTACTAAGGTTTTACTCATAGAAAAGAAAAGTTTGTTGTGTCCCAGTTCAAAGGTATCCAATATAAAAGATGTGTTCTACATAATATACTACTCATTCAACTAACTCTATTTTTCCCATCTGTTACATTATATAATTGGTTGATAGAAACTTAGTATTTTTATGCTAGTAGAAATCACTAAAAAACTTCCTAGTTTAGCAATAGAAGTTTTTATATAAGTACCATGAGTTTTATATAGTTTATAAATTTATGATACGAACTAATCGAAAGCTGACAAAAAAATACAGACACATTTCTTATTAGACTTAGTCGAATAATCTGAATGTATAATATTTATTTTTCTGGATTATATCCATTTTAATGAAATCCTTTCCTGAATGAAAAAAAAATCTAGCAGCAAACACTACTTAGTCTCTTAGAAAGAAATGCTCTTATCCAATTAATTTTTTTTTTAAAGATCTCTTGTATTATTTAAAATTTATCTATTTCATCATTATACTACATTTAAAATCAGGGATATTACAATTCTATTATTTCTTGAAAAAAATAAACATTCATTAAAACTGAAATATATAAGATATTTTTGGTAATATGAAACTTATTTTTAATTGGAAATCAATATTTACTGTTTAAATACCAAAACTAAAACTAATGACTATCAGATAGAATTTTTTTGTTTTTTGTTACTCTTCAGAACATCTGTAATATATATATAATTTCTTTAGATAATACATTACGTCCAGTATCAACAATAAATGTTGAAATGCCAATTCGTAAAATGGAAAAAGCTTCATCAAAAAAAAGTCTTGCTAATAAATTTGGTAAATCAATATCAAATTTAAAATCAACTATGTCAAAAGCATTACAACCTCATATATCATCAAATGAAAATGAATCTCAAATAATTGATTCATCATCATATCAATTGAATCAACAAATTCAAAATAAATCTTTAGATAATCAATTATCAAATAATTTATTAAAAAAATTACAAAATGATATTGATATATTAAAAGAATTATTAGATAAAAAAGAATTATTAATTATTGATTTGACAAAAAAATCTCGTGATGAATATTTAAAATTTGATGAAGAAAAAATTCAATTAAATCAAAAAATTGAACAATTACAAAATGAAAATATTAAATTAAAAAAGCAATTATTAAATATTCAATAAATAAAATCAATAAACAAACAATATTTCTTTTCTTTTTTTGTGTTGTGATATTTCTTCTTCCAAAAATTTCTTTTTGTATATATATTTTATTTGACAAAACTTCCATCTATTAATATTTATTTTTCCTTTTTGTGCAATTGTAATGTGATTTTTTTTTTTTAAATGTGCGCTATATTTTTTTTTTTTTTCTTTAGATAAAATAAAATGTCAACAGATGATTTAAAATACGATAGAAATGATAGTCAATCAGATGAAACATATACAACACCAATTAGTCCATTATCACCACAAGAAAAATCTCCACCACCATCACAACTACCACTACCATCATTATTAATAACAGCAATAACAAATTCTAATGAACAAAAAGATGAATTAAATTCTTATAATGAAATGCAAACATTAATACAATCATCAAATGATTTAACATTTCCATTAGAAGATTCATGGACATTTTGGTATTTTAAAAATGATCGTATGTGTGATTGGAAAGATAATTTAATTAAAATTACAACAGTATCAACAGTTGAAAGTTTTTGGTCTGTTTATAATCATTTACAATCAGCTAGTCGACTTGGTCAAGGTTGTGATTATTTTTTATTTAAAACACATATTGTTAGTATTTATTTATTAATATGAAATATCTTTTTTTTTTTTATAGTAATTTTTTGTTTATTTAGCAACCAATGTGGGAAGATCGATATAATCGTTCGGGTGGTCGATGGTGTTTAAATTTAAATAAGAATCAACGAACTAATGAACTTGATACATATTGGCTTCATACAGTTTGTTTTGTTTCGACTTTTATTTAAAGTGCCTTTTGTTTCTTTTTTGATTAGTTACTATCATTAATTGGTGATCAATATGGTGAAGATGCACATAATGTTAATGGTTGTGTAGTTTCAGTTCGAAGTAAAGGTGATCGAATAAGTTTATGGACACGAGATTGGAGAAATGCTGAAATTACAAAACGTATTGGGTAAAAAAAAGAATTTTGAAATATGAATAAGTGTTTATATTTGTTTTATTATATAGAAGTCGTTTTCGTGAAGTTGCTGATATTCCTCGATCATTACAATTGATATTTGAAGTAAGTATTTGATTTCATAGAGTCCTACATTTTTAAATTACATACATATCTTTAATGTTTCTAAAAAAATTATAAAAATTTTGCTTTTTAGTTTTTAACTTTAATGAAACATTCTTATTTTGTTTCTATCATTTAATAAAGGAAAATATAAATTTCTATCGTTATATATTGATCAATCATTTTAATGTTTGAAATATAGAAGTACATAATATTTTCGACGTAATTTAATACGTGATAATGTAAAAAAATAAAAAAGTGTAAAAATATATAGATATCGAATACACCGAACTAAATAATTTATAAAAAAAATGAATAATTTTATCATATATGTATTATAATGTTTGTTAACATTTATGTTTTTCAATGAAAATGAAAATTAATACTTCAAGGCTTTGATCCATAAACAATTTTTGTTTTGTTCTACCTTTTAGTTGATAAGAATATGTTATTATATTGCTTAAGTGCATTTTGACATTATTTGTTCTAACGAATAATATTTCTTTTTCTTTTTTTTCTGTCATCAAATACGATTAGTTCTAAAATAAATAACAAAAATATAAAGTTTAATTGCGTTTGAAATTTTCAAAATAAATAGAATTAAATACATAAAAATAAAAAAAAGACAAAGATTTATGTATTACATAAAATTGTATCAATCAAATTTATATATATAATTTTAAATTTTTAGAGTCATGAAGATCAAGAATCAAAACGTGGTGCATCATCAAAAATTCTATTTCGAGCTTAAATGAATGTATCTAATGGAAATTCTTTTTTCTTGTAGAAAATTTCTTTGTTCTTGACTTATATGTATAAAAAAAAATAAAAATTTTATTTATCTTCTCTTTACATTTCATCGAATGAAATATTATTTGTTGTATGTATGATTGTAGTCATTTATGTGTTGTATTTTTTTTTTTTTTTTGGTGTCTATGTATTATCATTCGACTATTTGTTTTCTTTATTTTTGTTGTTGTATTTTATAAATTCAATGTATAAATTTGTTTAATTAGGAAAAAAAAAAAGAAATTCTTTTCTGTTGTTTTGTTTGCGTTTGTCATTTGATTGTTGTTAAAAAAAGAAACGTAATAAAAAACAAAAAAAGATATATATATATATATATATATAAAATACGAATCTAGAGCATATGATTCTACCTATGCTAAAACGACCTTTTAGCGAAAATATGCACCGACAATACTTGTTTCGTTTT